GGCCTCGTTTAATAATAAAACTGTTTTCCTGTCTCACACAGGCGATGTGACGAAGTGCACACCTCTGATAAACTCTGAGAAATCACTGTATGTTTTCTTTTAACAGCGTCGCCTCAACATGACTATTTGTGGCCGATTTGTTTATTTGCTTTATATTGTGAAACAATTAGTAAAGTCAGCAGCAGGTAGCAATAACGCCTGACAGAAGTTCATTTATGTTTTTCTAACCTCAAAAATTAGTCTGCAGGGGAAAATGTGAGTCAAATGAGGAAACATGCACTCCTTTCTTCTCTGCTCAGTTCAAGAAAAAAGGTTGATGTTTGCATCTGGTGAACCAGAACTGTGTTACACAGTGGAGGTGATATTAGGAAAAGCAGGGGAAAGTTGTCCAGCTGAGTGATACGGTTCAGACTTTACTCCAACAGGGAGACGACAGGCAGCAATAAAGCGCTAGAAGTTTTGTTTTTACTAACATTTTCCTCTAATAAAACATTTCTGTGTGATATTAAATTCACTGAAAAGAATATGTGTGTCCTTCAACCTACCCACAAAATCTGGGGTAGTCCATTTTTCTTTTTATTTTAAATTCTGACTTCCTCCACCAATCTGCCACATTCAGCAAAATAGCTGCAGAGCATCATGGGACAGAGATTAATCACCACTGTGGCTAACAATGGGCACAGCGCTCCTGGGGGTTAAACTCATTCAGCGTACGCTTCCCCGCGAACGTTTGCTCACCTTGGCCAAATAACTCAAGCACTGCAAAAACACAAAATCTTACCAAGTGAATTTGTTCTAGTTTCTATTGAAAATATTTTAGTTCATTTGAAATAAGACAAAACTAACTTCAAAGTAACTTTTCAGCAAGATATAGGAGCTTGTTTTAAGTCAGTAATTCCTTAATATTGCTGAAAAAATACCAAATTATTTAACTTATATAATGGGAAAAGTGTCATGTATAAGTGAAATAATCTCCCAATGGAACTAGAATTTTTTCATCAATATTAATGAATTATTGACTTAAAATAAGCTCCTATATCTTGCTGAAAAGTTACTTTCAAGTTAGTTTTGTCTTATTTGAAGTGAACTAAAATATTTGCACTAAACTAGACCAAAAACACTTGGTAAGACTTTGTGTTTTTGCAGTGTACTGACTCCAGCAGCTGTTTTGGCTGCAGGGTTGCTCCTGAACTAATCGCACCTGGAGCTGAAAGTTTCGATCCTCAAGTAGATTTTGGACGTTCTTAAATCTGCTAATAAGCTGTACAAACTTGAACAGGCAAACTTTAGTTTTATAATGGAGAACAAACAAAGCCATTATTTTTCAAATACTCAAATTTGGGACCAAGTAAAATTTAAAACTGTACATTTCATGTTTGAAGTAAGAAACCATCAACTTCCAATACATAAAAATATATACAAAAGGCCTAAAATGCTGATTTTAAAAATTAATCTATAATTGTACATATAAGGATGAGAATGTTATGAGTATGAGAGGGGCAGAAAATCATACACTGCAAAAACACAAAATCTTACCAAGTATTTGGGGTCTAGTTTTGTGCTAAGGTTTATATGTGTGGTTAGTCTGAAATAAATTAATCATTCATTCAAACAGCACCAACTCTTCACTTACTTGATGCAATTATCACTAAAACTTCATTTTTTGTGACGCCCTCTGACAGAGTGGCACCCTGCGTGGTGCGCCATTTCCTCCTTATCAAAAATCACCTCTGCACCTTTTAGACGACGCTCTGTTCTGTCTGTAGTTTCTGTGAGATTTTTAATAACGGCGCTAAAGGATTAGGAAAAACCGTTTTTATAGACAGGGTAGATTGTGAGACGGCGATGAGCGATTGGTTTTACTTTAAACAAAAAGCTCTGGGAAGGAAATTGAAGGGGATGGGTTTTCCTCCTGTCCCTGCAGACTCAATGGGCTCTGCTCATAATTTAATCTGCTGCAAATCTACAACCACTGTGCAAGTCTTTGTGCTGCAGTTTCACCAGAAAGTGGTTCAGATTTGAAAGAACCTCAGGAGAAAAAGGGTAGATAAAAGAGGATGTGTGTGTTAGAGAAACGAGGTGACTCGGCTAAAAGATGGAAGAGCCAATAAAAAAATAATTTGACACATTGCACTGAGATGACAAGGTGACCTTGCTGCCTAAAAAAAGCGTATTTTAAAAAGCTTTAAGTAAAATGCAACACAGATAAAGTAAATCTTACTAAAAGATGGAGTGAACTCTGCTAATGGCACTTCTTGAAGAAAACAAGCCAGATCATGCATTTGTAAACAGCATTTCCTTCACAGACAATAAGGTCAGTAGATGAAGTTAAATGGGAGCAAATAGACACCAAGTTAACAAGAAAATGATCATAAAGTCAACAGAGACGTGATACAAATGTATTAATGTTAAAATCAAGCAGAAAGATCTGAGCCTTTACATGCTGATACAAATGATCACTAACGGATTGTTGTTGCATTTTAGGAAATAAAATAGTTAATTTCTCATTTAGAAAATGTATTTATTTACATCTTTTAATGTATTTCTAACATAGTACAAAATGGTTAATTACAAATCTGTAGAATGTGCCAATTTTTTTTGTATCTGATTAATAAACTACTAAAAGTAGCTTCAGCTCTAGCTTTAGCTCTCCCAGCAGGCTAAAATGAGACTGTTATTATTCTGCTGTCTTGAAAATATGAATAATTTTATTTATTTAATGTCTGACAGTGAGGAAAAATGGTTCATGCATGTAAATATCTGGTGAACAGAATAATGAAAGGTCCAAAAAGCTCATTCTGTTCTGAAACACAAAACAGAAAGAGGAAAATAAAAGATTTTTCTGGTTGAACTGAGAGTTCACTTTGACTAAATGGATAAATCCGGATGGTTGCTGAAATGGGCAGGAGGCAGTCCAAAATTCAAAGTCTGATTTATGTCACAGCAAAGCTAAGTGGGTGTTTTCCGCTGTTTGCTTTGCATACAAACCAAAAAAAAAAAGTTAAAAACCTGAAAATAAAAATATGGTAGTCTAGGAAAACAACTTTCAAGACTCAAATTAGATTTAAACGCACAATAACAGAACAGTCTGCATCACGCTTTGAACCCAGCATCATTATTCTCACGCTGCATTGTGTCTGTGCATCCTTAACGGAGCACACGATCACAAATGTCTGACAAAGACCACTTCATCAGCTCATGTCTCCGCTCGCCACAGGCCCCTGGCTCTCCTCCACTGTGAAAATATCTTCCAAACCGCATAAATATTTATGTCCATTAATAGTAAAGAGGCAGCACGAGTAGATGCATAATGCTCCGTGCTGGTCCTTATTTTCGGCGGGGAGATGCACTCCAACTGCCACGACGTCTCTGTCGCCATGACAACGGAGTCGAGCTCTCCATCGGAGCAGGACTCGGTTGTCCCCGCCGAAACCAGCAGCAGCACGGGTTGTTATGTGGAAGAAGTGCTGCGGCGACATGAATATTAATGCTGATTTGCAGCTACTTGAGCGTCTGGAGGACATGTGTTCTCAGATGTAAGGCACTCTGCAGCGCGTCTGAACAGGCTGATGTCAAAAAAGTGGAAGAGAACATGATGGGATGACCTCTGACCTTCTTGGAAACGTTGTTACCAAGCACACAACACTTTGACCATATTGACCCTTTGCAACTACGTCACTTAATCATTCAAAATGTCGGAAGTGAGGGATGAGAGTCTTGAAAGGAGCGACTAAAATTGTTTTGCCAGTTTGTTCATGGTTTCAACTTCTTCGAGTCGAACTAATTTGTCTGTGGTCGTAACTCACCTGGTTGGGGCTCATAGACGGCGGTGTTTACAAGAGTTACAAAGAGCTAGCTTAGAAACCGGCCCGAACCGCCTCCCTCCTGACGTGTTGACCAAATTACCACTTTTCCTGAATTTACACCACATGATTTAAATCACTATGTCATAAAAAGTGTTTCATTAAAAACGTACAAAAGACGAGATGCTAACCAGTTTTTTTCGTACATGCTAGGCTACATGACGGCGCGGCACTGTTTCCATGGTTACCAACGGTTAGACGGTAACCTTCTCCATAACACAATATTTGACATATTTCTACTTATAAAGTATATTAACGTTAATCTTCTTACCTTTAAAAAGTGTTCGCTGCAAATCCGCGATTTCACCGAGGGCTGACAGTCATGATTAACGGCTGATATCCATCACCGCCGTATCTTTCCTCATTAAAAGTCATAAAAGTTTGGTTTCTATCCTTCTCCGTTTCTAAAGCCGACTGCGCTGCATCCTACGACCATTTTTAAAGTAAAATCAACTAAATAAAAGCGATTTTAGGAAACAGATGCCTGTTTTTAGACTGGCTTTAAAGGAGCGGATTGGTTGTTTTGACATCCGTCATGGCGGAGTGGGCGGAGTTCTGGAGAGCGTGACGTCACGTGCAAAAGGTCAACAAAGAGCAAGTGTGCTTGGTGAGGCATTTCCATTCCCCATGCCAGTATTGTCCAACTCCAAAATATTGTCTTAAGGCAGTATTGTCCATTTGTGGTCCCTTAGTCCGTAATTCAAGAATGGAGCATATTTGCAATTATTTTGAGATTTTCACAGACAAATAAAATCTTCTTAAATACTTATTATTCAGATACAAGACAGAGTAATTAACTGTATTAGCAATGTTTTCATAGATTACACTTTTTTTAAAACCAGCAAATGTTGCACAATTTAATTTATTTAATTTCCATTTATGATTAATAATGAATTTTTGAATTTGAACTGAACAACCTTTGTTGCAAAAATGTAAATACAAAGTTTAAAAAGAAAAAAATAAGACAATAAAATCCCCAGACCTCCAAAATGCTTTTGAAAATATTTACGTCATTTAATACTGCAACTGTGCAAGACCTAATTTATATTTTGGATCAACAATGATTTAAAGACTCCAAATTCTCTGTTTTATTAAATTAGTATCTATTTAGTATGGTAAAGACATGAAAACAACAAATGTCTTAAGAAACTCACCTTTAATTAAAACAAAATGAAGTGTTCTCAACTTGACAATTTTCACCCCCATGGTAAATAGTCTGCATACCACTGTCTTAAGGAGTTTTATTGTTCTGGAACGCGAGACGAGAGAATTTTAAAATAAATACTTGGGACTGAACAGACGGCACATAAACAAACAAATAATTGCAGCTTTACTTCACTGCTGTCCGCACAAACACGCTGCTGCTGGTGCTGCTGCTCTGGGCTTTATTCTGTCAAAACATTGAAGTTTTCCGTCCGCGGACATGATGTCTGCTTGCTTTGACGTCTCCTCTGGGAGATCCAGCCGTTCTGCTATATAAAAGATGGATGGAGAACAAAGGTATGTTTCAGCTGGAGATGGAGGATGATACACAAACAAAAGACAGGAAAACACCGATAAAGCTGAGGTGTGCCTCAGAAAACAGAAATGCAGTGTTAGCTCCGAGAGAGATTAGCGGGCCACCCAGCAGGAGAGATTTCCCCCAGCTTACTGTCTGACTGCTTTCAAGGTAACACGACTTTTTCTTCCAGCCTCCTTCGGGTTCCTCCTGCAAAAATAACAGTAACATTTACTCACCGTATGAACAAAACATAATGTCGAGCGGAGTCTATTTCAAACCAAAACATGAAGGAAAACTGATCAAAGGCTGCGTTCACACTGCAGCCTGAAGTGACTCAATTCCGATTTTTTGGCAATTCCGATTTTTTTTGCCGGGGCCGTTCACACTGCCAGTAAATGCGACCTGTATGCGTTCTGCAGTGTAAACGGGCAAACGACCTGAAAGTGTCCCGCATGCGCAGTAGAGGGCGCAATAGCGTCAGCGTTCTCAGTGTTCTGCCAACCGCCATGAAAAGAAGAAGTGCTCAGTGTTTGCGGAAGTAAACATAGAGGCTAACGGTGGAGGTTAGCTTACATATTTGAAGTTGTTGTCCGGCCGGAGCAGCCTATTAACAACTTAATCCTCATATATTCTGCCATGGTTGTTGTTTTTCTTCCCGCTTGCGTGTATCAGGACGCAGAATAGTGAGATTTGTTGAGAATCAGTAACGTTCAGTTCGGATGAATGCGACCTGGACGTTAGGTCGCATTTGAATCGGATAGTATCGGATATGGGTCACATTCGAAAAAGAATCCGACCTGTGCTGTTCACACTGCCATGAAAAGATCGGATACAGGTCGCATTATGTCAAAAAAAATCGGAATTGAGTCACTTCAGGCTGCAGTGTGAACGCACCCAAAATCACTCTGGAACATGAGTCAAACTCAAGGCTTGTGGGCCAAATCCGGCCCGCCGTAGCTTTTTATGTGGACTTCTAGATACCAGACTAAACATTAAGTTATTATGTTATCAAGTTGATATAGTTTTTATCTGTTTACTGCCAAATTATATAAATCAGTCCCTCAAGTTTCTTCAGAATTATCATGGAAATTCATGCAAAAATCAACAAATCCCTACACTTTTTTTGCGCCAATACATAATTGAGAGTTTATTGCAAATTCTTCTCAAAAATTGTCAAAAACATTCTTACTTGTACTAAACATCTGCCTCAGCCTTAATTGATGTCAAATTATAGTCCATGATCTACAAAGCGAGTAATAAAAAGTCGCATTTACTTTCATAAATAAGTGCAAATATTTCCAAATTAGTACCACAAACACTTTGATTTTTATTGAAAAAAATCACAAAAGGCATCACGAAATCCTGGAGAGACGGAAAATATGTTCAGTAATATTATTTCATTTTAGGATTTCATAGATATTTTAACAGTTTGGTGAACTGTTTTTATCAATATGCATAATCAACCCTTTAAGAGCATTCATGATCTTGATTCGACCCAAAACAAAAATGAGTTTGAGGATGTATCTGCATTTAATGTTTTAAGCATTTACTGTAAATACTGAAAAAAGCATGAAAAGTTGTGTGAACTATTGAACAGTTAGTTGTATAACAGCTGTTGATTCACATATGTACTGCCTGCAGTTGAGGAAGAAGAGGCATCCCCATATCATGATACCCGAGACACCGTGCTTCTCTGTGCGCTGCACGGTTTAGGGATCATCTGACAATTTATACCCAGAAAGAAAGAAAATAGCTTTCAAAAATACAGAAATTTTAGTTCCAGTGGTCTTTAGACCCGTTCAGTAAGCATCTTTTATTTAACCAGGTAAAAACCCAGTCAGATCCAGATCTCATTTTCAGAAATCTGCAACACACAACAACCTGGTTACACTGGTGTCACACACTCTTCCACTGCCGATACCTTGAATATGAATTTGTAATCTATCATTTTCAGGATAATAACTCTAGAGCAAGCAGACATGATGCAGAAAGATGCCGTTTCATAAATCAAAGAAAAAAACTCACAGAACTGAATCCAATCCAAAAACATGAAGTCAAAAACCTGATGACAAATCCAAAAAGTAGTGACAAAGTTAATCACTGCATAAATGAGTAAAAACAGAGTGAACCAGAAGAGAACATGTAGTGGAACAAAAGAAAGGTGAGGTACTAATTAACAGAGCGGGAGACGCTGAATGGGAAACCAGAGCGCAGATTCAGAGGGAATATGATGGACTATATGGCAGAACAGAAACTACAGAACAATGAAAACGGATCGCAGCTCAACATGACGGCAGTTAAAATGGGACCAAGACGGGATTCTAATGCAGAAAACAACCAAAAATCAGCCTGTAACCAGGAGCAACTGGACAGGAAACAGTGTGGAGGATGTACCGGGGTTGTGAGCAAAGAGTCTTAGGAGACAAACTTGTTGACATGGAAACGATCACCTGATGGTGCAGGTCCTCCGTCTCGCCTCTTTGGACTCAGCAGACTGAAAAGCAACATGGCTTTATTTGCTTATATGGATAATTACACACAGACTGACGCTTTTTAAACCTTTATTTCTGTTAGTTGGGGTGATTTTCTGCATATATGTAATAAAACCAGAGTGGGGTAGTAACTACAGTTACATTTACTCGAGTAACTTTTTGGAAAAAAATGTACTTTGAGGAGGAGACTTTTGACTTTTACTTGAGTAATTTTATTATGAAGTACCTCTAATCTTGAGTAACTTTGCTGAATGAAGAACAAACATGTTTTAACCAAAAATTCACCAGATTATAGCACACGCCTGCAATTTTTGTTAGTTTTATAAGTTTTGTATTGAAAGAAATTATTTGGAAAAATGTTCCTTTTGCAATTTTGTAATTATTTCATATGAATTATTTAAATTTTGATCTTTAAATACCAACATTTCTGCATAACCATGTTGTCTGATTAAGTTTTAAATATTAAACGATTGACAATTTGATCAGTTACTGAGCATTTGAGTAACCGTTTTACCAAATACTTTTTGGGGCGGGGCTGTCGGTTACTGGTTACTATGGTAACCATCAACAGAACTTAATATACCGATAAATGTCTGGAGAAACGGCTTCTTCACTCAACAAAGATAAATTCAAAGAATAAACAAACACATTTTGACAAACTTTACATCTAAAATATTGTTAAAATAAAACTATGTTGCATATAGAAGAGAAGTTTTATATTTTTAACTGAATTTTAAAAATAAATTACATTTTAGGTTCTATATTTTAACTTACTGCAGTCCACCTGTATAGTTGCTTTAAGATTCTTGCATTGATTACAGATGTTTCATGTTCAGAGTAACATCTTTCAGCGCGTCTCCCACCCTGACGGGTGATTTTCTAGTTCAGGAGACGTTTGTTATGACAGAGGGTCGTCTGAGCCTGAGGACAGTGAGACAGCAAAATCCAGGACAGCAACACCCAGAAATACACAAACACACATGCCACTCATTGTAATACAGGTCGTCTATTTGGTCTGACCTAGAAACGCTGTCTGCACGAAGGCTGCTCAACAAGCTGAAACAGACTGACAGGCTCAAAACACTCCAAATCCCCCTGTTCCCTCCTCTGCTCCCCCTTTAAAAGCCTGGATTAACTCAAAAACAAGAAAAAAAAATACACATGTAGAGAGAAATTCACAGTATTTCTGAAGGTACATTTTTTATGTTATAACAAAACACAGAACAGATACGGGTGGAGGGCCGTAGCTGATCCAAATTGAAGCTGCTGAGCGTGAGGTTGTCAGCAAAAGAAATAATTAGCTCCAGCATGTCTGTGGCTTTTTCTCTGTGACTCTGTATGAACCGCACAACACGGCCAAAAGAAAGCTGGTAAACCATGGAAACAACATCTACCAGCAGAGAGAGATACGGATACCTTCCCTCTCTTCTGCCTGTGTTTGTCTTTCCTCCTTCTGGAGGGACTGTCAGAGTCTTAGGGGCGATCTCAGTGCATCAGCAGAGGAACAAGAGGCAGGCGGATGCTGAGGCAGAAGGATGTTTTGAAGGTGAAGAGGGTGAAACGTCCCACTGCAGCAGATCTGTTTGCAGACAAGGACGTGGCACGGGCATTCGCCTAGATTGCACGTTTTGGGTATTTTGGGTCATGTCAAGATCATATATGACTTGACCCAAAAGGGACGGTTGTGCCGGAATATATTGATAAAACACATTAGCAAAACTGTTAAAGTATTAATAAATCATTGTCTCTGCATTTGAAAAGTTCTTAAAATTAAATAATGTTGACCATCTATTCACAGTAATCAGTTCCTCCAGAATTTTAAAAATAATTTGTGATTTTTTTGCAATCAAATTCGCATATTTTGAAATATTTTCAAGAATCTTTGCAATTATGCACTTATATAAGACATTAATTGTGACTTTTGTTACCCACCATATTGATCATGGACTGTAACTTAACATTAAGGCTGAGGGAGCAGTGTTGTAAAGGTAGTAGTGGAAATTCAACCAAAAGTTTTTATCCAAAATTTTGCTTTTAATGTAATTTTTTAGTAATAGGATACAAAAACATCCGGTGGTTTTTACTAAAATGCAGACCTGGGAACTTAAGTGGCCATAAACTGTTCTTGTAACTAAAAAGAAACAAAAAAAAAATCCAAAAAGAGATAAAAAATTTAGGATATGATTTGCATTTTTTTTTTTTTTTTGCTAATCTGACAAACATGTAAGATCCTTTTTTGTTTTAAGTCTACAAAGAACTACAGATATCTGTCTGCTTTGCTTATTTCATTAACATATTATACGTTTAGTTTATTTAGCAAGTAAAACATATATATAATTTTTCCAAATATATATAAAAGTACTAAAAATTTTGTGACCCCAGGTCTAGTTGCAACTTGACATTTTTGGCCCACATGTTAAAGAGTTTGGAAACCACTGCTGTAGGTTCTTTACTTCTGTTCATTGCAGACTAGATCAGTGGTCCGCGGGCGCCCCCTAGAGGTCCGCAAGGCATTACACGTAAACGACCGTTAATTTGCCGTGACGTCACCTCAAAGTGCGAGGCTAGAGCTAGCTTACCAAAGGATTGTGTTTTAAAATAATAATGGGTAAGTGGCGTAAAACCAAGGCACTCAAAAGAAAAACTGAAGATATTGGTGGAAAGAAAACAACGTCAGGATTACTTATACGATCGGAGGAAGTTATTCCTGCTGAGTTTTGATGTGTCGCTCACTAGCGATTCGATTCTTTTGAACTGTTCT